TGTTAAAAGTTTTGAAACCATAGGACCATCTGTGAGGTTTTTTAAACTTAAGGACTAAACTTGATATTTTCGGAAACCACAGGGACTATTTTTGAAGTTTTGTCTATGTAAATGAATTGGAGAATACGATGGAATCAAGTCGGTGTTTTTCCCTAAAATCCCTAATTCGTTGTTATCATTGGTTCGGTGTCTTTTTCTTATTATTTTGATCTATAGCATCGCTAACATTGTTTATTTTTCATTTTGTAAATTTGTTGTTTCGGTTGACAAGCTACTCAAGATTATATTTAAGGTTTAACTTTCTGCTTTTTTTTCTTTTTGCAAATAAAAGTTTCATAACCAAGGTTTTAAAAAGCTCGTCATGGCTCAGCCATGGCACGCCAAGGCTCTAAAGTTTGTATGTGCCGCCAAGCTTTACTAAAACGCCGCATTGATTTATATATGTGTATAAAAATAAATAATAGTTGAAAATACATATAAAAATATGAATTATATATAAAATTGCCGCCTAAAACCACGTCTTACAAATGACGTGGCTCGCCAAGGCTCGGAAAAGCTTGAGACTTAACATTGTCATCAAGTCACGCCTTACGTTATTTAGAACCATGTTCATAACTGTTGTTACTCTCTTTAAATAAAGCTAGGATCGTGATCCAACCAAGAGAAACGATTATCCAAAAACAAATAAAGTTTGTAATAATGATACGATGAATTCAAACGGTACAAAAAAAGATGATTCATAATGAATGGGCAATAATTTCATGAACTTACTTGAACTATTAAACTTTTGTTGACAGAAACATGAATGTTGGTATCCCAATTGCAATGAGTCGATCAGATGATGGAGTTGAAAAGATAAAGTTGGAAAGGGTATATATAAAAAGTGATAAATCGCAAAAAAAAAATATGATATTCAAGAAACAATCTGTTGACGATTATATACAATTGCAATCTTTATCACGTTACCGAAAAATAGGTAATTATTGGTCTCATTTTAGGAGATAAAGATGAAAATTCTTTAAAAGTAAATTTATCTACTGATTTATTAAGGTATTTTAATTTATCTATTTAATCTATGGATTTGTATGTAGATTTCTAAGGAAAGTAATAGTTGATAAGTAAGATATGATTTAATCTTTTATCTATGGAATATATATATATATATATATATATATATATATATATATATATATATATATATATATATATATATATATATATATATATATCATTTGAATTAACAATTACTTCATTAAATTAAATTTTTCATTAAATATAGTGAATGGTGATATCAGCAAAATATCTACAGATGATAATATATTGCGGTATAGTGAATGGTGATATCAGCAAAATATCTACAGATGATAATATATTGCGGGGGCGTGTAGGGGAGTAATCTACAAACTTTCTATTATTTAGGGACTATTTTTGTAATTTTTAAACATATGGATCATTTATGTAAAAAAAATAAACAATAACCTTTTCTGTAAATTACGAAACCCTTTTGTAATTTATTTTCTAAGACCAAACTTGTTGACATACGAAAATGTTAAATATATAGATTGGTTTTATAAAAACAAACTTTATAGAGAACTTTTCTATACATTACAAAAGTATAGGGAGTAAATATGCCAAAATCGAAAACATTTGTGGTAAAACTGTAAAAGTAAATAAATGTATAGTATTTCTAAAACATTTTCGGCAAAAGTTCAAAACAAAGAAAAATTATTATTTATAAGCAACTTTCTAATTAATATATAGTATAATAATTGGTGAAAGAAACATTTCCTAATACCATCAAAATGTAAATCAGCAAATACATATACTTTTACGGAACATTTTCTAAATTTTATTTTTTAATAAAAAAGTTCAGAACTTTTCACCTTTTGAATATAAAAGCCCAAGAAACATTTCCTTTTTGACCTGTTCAACAGGTTATAGGACCAAATTGTTAATTTTTCGAAAACAAAGCAACTTTTTTGCAGATTTCGTCAAATTTTTTATATAATGTATAAACATATTTTTTACATATCTATATCTATTTTTACGTATTTTTGTATTTTTTATATTTTTATAAGTATATATTTACGTATTTTTATGTATTTTAAATGTATAAACATATTTTTTTTACTTATTTATATGTATTTTTAACCATTTTACATATTTTTATGTATTTTTATGTGTTATTTTTTATATATTATGTATTTATATGTATTTTTATATATTTTTACGTATTTATGTATTTTTAAAGCTTTTTATATAGATGTTATGTATTTTAAGTGTATAAACATATTTTTTACGTATTTATATCTATTTTTAAGTATTTTACATATCTTTTATGTATTATGTATTTATATATTTTTTTTAAAGTTTTTTATATAGATGTTTTTGTATATTTATATATTTTAAATGTATAAACGTATTGTTTTATGTATTTATATGTATTTATTAAGTACTTTACATATTTTTTTTTTGTGTATTTTTATGTGTTTTTTATGTATTATGTATTTATATATATTTTTGCGTATTTATGTATTTTTTTTAGTCTTCTCATATAGATGTTTATGTATTTTTATGTACATTAAATATTAAAGTGTATTATTTTTACGTAAAAATATATAAACACGTAAAAATAATACAATTAAACATTTTATATACATAAAAATACATAAATATCTATATAAGAAAACTAAAAGAATACATAAATACGCAAAAATACATATAAATACATAATACATAAAAAAACACAAAATATATGTAAAATAGTTTCAAAAAAATACATATAAATACTTAAAACAATACGTCTATACATTTAAAATACATAAATATACAAAATATCTATATAAAACACTTAAAGGAATACATAAATACATAATACATAAAAAAAATATGTAAAGTACTTAAAAATATATGTAAATACGTAAAAAAAATATGTTGATACATTTAAAATACATAAACTTGTATATAAAAAGCTTAAAAATACATAAATACGTAAAAATACATAATACATAAAAAATTACACATAAAAATACATAAAAAAATGTAAAATGGTCTAAAATACATATAAATAAGTAAAAAATACGTTTATATATTTAAAAAACCTAAAAATACGTAAATGTATACATATAAAAACATAAAAAATACACAAATACGTAAAAATTGATATAGATATTTAAAAAAAATATGTTTATGCATCATATGAAAATTTTGACGAAATCTGCAAAAAGATCCCGTTATTTTCAAAAAATTAACAATTTGGTCCCACGACCTGCTGAACATGTCAAAAAGGGCTAAAGTAAATAAATTAGCCGGTTTCTTGGACTTTTCTATTCAAAAGATGAAAAAGTCAGGACTTTTTTATTCAAAAAATAAAATTTAGGACTTTATTAAAAATTTACCCAAAATATCGAGACTTTTTTGGAGATATCCCATACTTTTACCCCCGATACGTCAATCTTAAACAATTAAAGGGAATATCTCAGATGCAGTAAGGGAATGTCTATTTTATGATACCTATGTCATAAGCGACCACAAAAGTCATAACTCATCCTAAATGGATTCACAAGGTCTTGATCAAATTTTAATTTCAAAACAAAAGTGTTTCGTAAAGGTACTCATATGACATAGTATTTTAAGTTTTAGATACACATAGTATCTCAAATGGTGGTGGAGACTGAGGAACGATACATCACTTTATGGAGAAAGATTATATATGGAGTTCATAACTTATTCAACAAACCGAAAAATTATATTTCTAAGAAATCTCTCAGTGGTGTTCGGAACAACATAACAGGTGTTAAAAATGACTTGAAATCTATGAGTATGAGTATCAATGATGTATTTAGACAATGTGTCAAATCCGGGGATAACACCCAGTTTTGGAACGATATTTGGATCGGTTCCTTAGAATTAAAAAAAAAAGTATATCCAACTCTTTATGATTAGAGGCTCAAAATAGATGCACGGTGAAGGATAGAATCAATGAAAATGGTGTTATCAGTTGGTGTTGGAAGTCCAACCCATCAAGCTATGGGTTGCATAACTGTCTATCAAGCCTAGTTCAGGATGTTGAATATGTTCAACTGCATCCTGGGTCGGATTATACACATTGGTCTATTGCGCCTGATGGAATCTATAGAGTTTCGATCCTCATGCATTTAATTGACCACAACCAGTTGGTGTAAGTTAATTCCCATAAAGGTGTTGGGCTTCGTTTGAAGAGCAGTGCAGGGTCGTATACCTGATGTTATGACACTCATTCACAAGAACATTCCTATTGATTTCATGTACTGTGGTTTCTATGTAAATCAGCAGGAGGATGCAGATCATATACTCATCAACTATTTGTTTGCGTGTATGGTTCAAGGAAAAATCCTCTTTTGGTGCAGGATTGATGATATGATAGTAAATATGGTGGGTGAATTTATTGATTTTACATCCAAATGGGGTAACTATTTAAGCAATTTGTTATGGAATGTTATAGATCCTTCAGAAATCACGGAACAACGGACTTTCAAATGTCTATATGTTTTCCTACTCTAGCAGTCAAGAACATTAAGTCGTTGGTTTATTTATGGATCAATGTTGGTTTATTTATGGATCAAATGTAAAGACAAAAAAGAAATTTGTAGTTAGGAGAAATGGAGAATTGAAACGTATCCCCTTTCTATTTCTTGATATGTATATGTATTTGCTATAAAAATCTTGGTCATTTCAAAAAAAAAAAAAGTATTTCAAACAAGGAAGAGTTCAATGTTCAAAATATAGTAATAGTCATGTGTTCTTCGTAGCATAACCACATAATATAATAGACAACATATAAACATTTAACTAACAACAAAAACAATACCACTGTAAATTTTCAACATTTTTTCCCTTTAAGAAAAACATTAGAGGTAACAATGTCCAATATATCGCATTTGAACAAAAGAGAGACAACATCCATACTCCATACTAATTAGTAATTACTGATTACCACTACTAAGCCAAGCCAAGCCACGTCAGCAAGTAACATCAAGATGTGGCCCACACATAAACATATCAAACTTCTTCACCCGGTCCCACCACCCACTAACCTTCTTCCCACCCACCCCGCCACGTGGACCCTTCTTGTCCTTCATCACCTGCGCCAGACTTGTACATGTGCTACTATTACTTGTACTACTCATCGAACAACCCATCTCATCTTCCCCACCACTCCAACTCACACTACTACTACTCCACCCACCACCGCCACCTCCTCCTCCACCACCACCACCACCTCCCACCATCAACCGCTTTATATTAATACTAATATTACTCTTCTTTCCTTCAGTTCCCTTGCTACCTTGTTTCATTAACTTCTCGTAATACTCTTTGTTTCGTTTCTCCAATTCATAGATCTGACCTTGAAGATCGTCGATCTTACGGCTGAGAATAAACACACGTTGATCTTCGGTTCGTTCGAGCAACACACATCGAGCAAGCTCACCTGCTTTACGTTTCATGAAGAGAGATTCCGAAGCGAGACGAGAGTTTTCGTTTGTCAACACTACACGCTCCGATTCCAAAACATCTAACAAACTTTTCTGTAACTCGATCTTCTTCCTCGATTCTTCCTGAATCGAATCGGACACCTTTAACTCGTCCACCATGAAATCGTATTCGATAAACTTGATTACGAGTTCGGATATTACGAGATCTGAGGGAGCTTGTTTTTCAGGGGGGTGGTAGGAGATGGAGGTTGTTTGAGCGTCGTCGGAGAAATCGGTGGTGGTGTGGATTGAAATCGGACTAGGTGGTTGTGATTCATGGTGGTGGTGGTGGTGGTGTTTGGAGAGAGTGCGGGTGTAGCGATCGGCTAAGTGAAGGTAGCGATTGTAGAGGTCGTGGAGGAGGGAGAGAAGTTCAGGGCGTTTCCGGTAGTAGAAATCGGCGCGTTCACCGAAGGTGTCTGGCTTGTCTTCTCCGTTGATTGATTGTATTTTATCCTCCATATCTGATTTGGCGAAATTGTTAGTAAAATACATTAATTTAAAAATAATTATTTAATCCGTGGTTTTAGTACAAGAAAATATGTTTAATTGGAATATTTTAATAACAAATTGGGTGTAAAAATTGAGTTTTATTTTTAGGTTGAATATTTCCTATTAAAAAGTTGATGAAAATGTAATTATAACAGTTGAAAGTTGAAATAATTAATTCATCTTATCTTAAATATTCTTGAGCAAGAAAAAAACTATAATGAGCATGAGTTATTATTAAATTAAAGTCAAATACCATTATTATATGGCACATTATTAAATGAACGTAAATGCAATTACTTTCATTTGTCTAAGTTATGGTTACAAGTATTTTAACAAATCACACATTAACTCATTATATTCAACTTTAAATTAATAGAAAACATTCAAGAAAAATAAAATATATGAACGATATCGTGGAAAAGAAAAGTCAGAAAAAAGAAGAAAAACTCCCATAAGTAAATTTCAAATTTTGAAAATAAAGTAAAAAAGTTTCTAAATTTACAATCCCTTTTGGATCAGAACATTTTGTTCATGACATTAAATATAGAAATTATTTCACTTTTGGAATCAGAAAAATAAAAAAGTTAAGGAAAAAGATGAAAGCGACTATTCATAAAAATTATTTTCGAGTACATACACCCCAGTCTAACAAGTCCCTCCAAAATCTTATTCAAAATCCGAAAGATTCTTCCCCAGCAGCTAAAAGAATAATTGCTTTTGCCAACGTCTATTTTTCTCTTTTTTCATTTCTAATATTTGACCAATTCATCACAAAAATCACAAACATTTAAATCTATTTTCTAACAAAATGACATATTTTTTACACTTTACACAAAGTAATCACTAATCAAGTAATTTCACAACTCACAACAGTCCATTTACATAATTTAACAATTTTTCCCCTGAATATTATTTTTTGTGATTTCCTTTTAAAAATAAATCCTTAACAAAATAAACAAAAATAGGCTAAATAATGTGAAATAAATAATAGTGTTGCAGTATGTCAGTGTCCTATTATATAGCCCCGCTGAAAGGTAACCCCATTGAGTAGACGTTTCCGTGTCAAACTAATAAATAAATTTTTCATCATAAATTATATATATTTCTGGCAAATCTCAGCCGTCCGTATAAAATCAAATTTTTTTACCATTCCTTTTCAGTATATATCTAAAATTAAATGCACACAACTATTTTTTCTACAACATTTACTTATTTAAATGTGAAAACAAATTAAAACACTAAACAGACACCAGAAAATATAATGTTGTCCTTCAATTACTCTTTTGAAACATTGGATGCTTGCCAAATCAGAAATTCCCTATTATTTATTTAAAGCTTGTTTTTTTTTTCTTTAATATATTTTTTTAATTTTATGTACCTTTGAAAATGTCAAACAACACTGTAAAGTTTTTGACAAATAATCTTGTAACAACAGGCTAACATGAGTACGAATTATTTTTTAAGCATTTAAGTGATTACGATAATCATTAGTTAGTAAATTAGTATCACTAATTAATCGGAACACGTGTGAAAAAATCTTCATTTGCGATTTAATTCAATAAACTTTTGTACTTTTTAACTTTTCAATCCAGATTCCAAGAAAATAATCGATGAGAAAAGCACAAATCGCAATTATTTCAAATTAGTTGACAAAACTCTGAGGAAAAGGTACGCACCAGATATCGAGAGTAGGAGCCATGAAGGTTTACTGATGAATCTGCTTTTGCTCCGGCGTGATTGATCCGACGATGACGACGGCGATATTCCGTCTACGGCGGCGGAGGAGTTTGAGTAGGTTATAGGTAACATCTTATCAGCCGGCCCTATCGCCTGCAAATATCGGAACTAACGCTTCCAATTAGAAGCCAGATAGATATAATAATTGTACGATTATATTTCACCAGATGTGAAATAATTGAGTAGAATTGAAATTTAAAGTTATATACAATAATCGATTAAATAATTGTTGTTTCGTGTCGGAAAATAATGACCAGTGGCTTGGTTGGTGTAATCCTTGACAAGAGGTAAAGCATTTAATGCAGCCGGTGGCTAATGTTCCATGTTTGATTGTTTCGACAACGATCAAAAATATATAAATCGCGAAAATGCATACGGATTTGCAAGGAAACATGGTATGGAAGAAGAATTAGAATAAGAACAACGACAAATAAACGGAATTGTAGCGAATAATGAGACGCAGATCTCGAGGTTTCAACCGGCTTTGATTTCAATTTCAGTTACATCAGTTCTATCTAAAAACACAGTAAATAAACGCACATCGTGCCCTACAAGTAATGGAGCAAAAGGAGTTATCCGATCTTAAATTAACACAGAATCATATATCTCTATCAAACATTGTAGCCGATAACCGGAAAAAAAAAATCAACGAGGAACGTGAAGATGAAAACCATCAGTTGAAAATTCTAACGCAAAGTAGGAACGACGATGGAAATACTTACTTGCCTGTGAGTCAGTGCAGCTAGGTGTTTTGGTGAACGGAGAAAATGGAAGCCGCCGGTGAACAGGCGGAGGATGGAGGAGAGTGATCAGAGGAGAGGTTGTCGGTGGGGAAGAAGAAAACTAGCTAGTGTGTACATGAGTTTTTTCTGTATATATGAACTGAAGCGACTTGTAGTGGGGATTAGATGAGGGGAAGGGGAGTTGCCTACTTAAGTGCAAGTGTTGCCAAAATCCCGCAAAGACTGGTTTGATTTTCAAAATACGGGAGGTGCCACGTGGGATATGTATGCTTTTTCTTTTGACTCTTTTAATTTGAATAAAAGGAAAAAGTATAATACATGTTGAAAATAATACATATAACCTGAAAGAAAATTAAAAATGCATATCTAAGAGTTTTTAAGTATGAGTCAAAGAAAATACATATTAATTAAAGTGTAATAATCGTTAATTGATACATTTGATATTGTATCTATCATTTTTACGTTTTGTTATTGTATAGATAATCTTTTCCATTCATGTTTTTGTTTCTTTGTTTTTTTGTTTTTAAGAGCTTAATCATTAATCATTAAGTTTGTTAGAATTTGTTATAATGTAAATGTTGTATCCATTAGTTTTGGCTTAGCCTATGGCCTTAGGGTTTCTTATGTCTAAGGATCATATTTTTTTTATATATATATTTTGTATTGGATTTTTATAAAAAACATAATCAATATAATCAATAAGTTATTTTCATCTTCAATCTTTTTTGTTCATAAAATTCATAAAAATGACAATTTTGTTATCTTCAACTTTTTCAAAAGAAAAACAACATCAAGATTTATAATAATATAGCACACACCAACATCAATTTTGCAAAATGAAACCCCAATTCATAATCTTACAAGTTCATCTCTATCAAAACCTCATTCTCCAAATGAATCATATAAACCACTCGTATATAGAGCATGAATGCTCGTTGTCCGGATATATCGATCTCATTTCTCAAAGTTCTCATTGAGATTAGTTAACGGTCTTCGTTGGGCCTTTCAATAAATTTTAAAGGTCAATGTACCACAATTCACCATTCTATAGCATAAATGTTACTGATAATATGCAAGTAGTTATCTAGATAACACAACATATATGATCTAACTATTGCATTATAATGTAAACATGCGAAAATTTAAAGAATCCATGATTATCTTATCACTTCTTATCTCCACTAAACATTTTCTTCAAACATGGTGGTTACAGTTTAACAAAGCTCTAAGATAATAGAGTCGTATTAACCCTTAATAGATGTTTGTAGTGCGTCATTTTCAAGACTTATGTCATCGACTACTTTCTCTAGAGTCGCACAAACTTGTTCACTTTCACAATATATATATATATATATATATATATATATATATATATATATATATATATATATATATATATATATATATACAGAGAGAGAGAGTTAGGTTTAAATGTTTCTACTATCTATTGTGTGCTTATAAAATTGATTCTAAACCAATCATTTTAGTAATTTTAAGAAAGTAATTAATGCATATTAAATGTTAAATGTTTAATTAATGCTCATTATATCTTTAACATGTAATATGCATTAATTACTTTCTTAAAATAACTAAAATGATTGGTCCATAATCAATCATACATCCACACAATAAATAGTTAGAACACAATAACCTGACCCTATATATAGAGAGAAAAGTGAATATACCGTTAAGGATATATAAGTTTAGGTACCCAAACGCACCATAATACGTCGTTTTGTTTGATATAGTCATTATAATATTGTTAAACTTCAACCCTAACTTGATTTGCTTTCAAGATATTCGAAATTTCACTATTATCATTATCTTAAATCACATCTTTTTGCCGAACACCAACTAAGCTATATATATTGTAGTAGAAAATGGAAATTATGTAAAACGAATATAAATGTGTAAATTATAAAAATCTTTGAATTAAATCAAGTTAAAAGTTAAATTATAAGAACATTGGACAATTACAATGTATTATATGATACAAAACGACGTAATATGGTAACTTTGGGTACCTAAACTTATATAAAGGGTATATTCACTTTTCTTTTATATATATATATATATATATATATATATATATATATATATATATATATATATATATATATATATATATATATATGTTTTTTTGTCAATTTTGCCCCTAATTTTTCAGCCATTTTGATACTTTTGGTCCTTGTAATAAAAAATTTTACATTTTTTAAGAATTTTAATATTCAAAGATGGCCCACAAAACTTTAAGGAATTGACAGCTTTGGTCCCTTTTCTAAAAACTTGTTAATTCCAACCCCTTTAACTCTTTAGTCATTTTGACACTTTTAGTACTTGCACTCAAAACTTTTATATTTTTTCATAAAAAACACAAAACAATAACCCAGGGCAAAGCCCGGGTTTTTCCGCTAAAAGAGTGTACAACGAGTTAGGAATAGTGAAACTCACGTTTTTTTTACTGTTTTCGTCTTTGCACTTTCTGTGCCTGTCATTTTCTTCTTTTGGTATATTTTTTCTTCTATTGGTCCTCATATTTAACTTTTTTGTTTGTTTCCTGCCCTCTATCTATCCGTCCCCGACTGTTTATACTTTAAACGTATGAAAATAATCCAAATCAACTAAAAGAGTCAACAACGACGTCTATTAATCTATAAACAAAAACAACACTCAAATCAGACGCACACGGACCATGCAGAGCATGGGCAACATATCTAGTTTTAACAAAAGACGCCACGTTATCCAAAAAATGTTTTTACAGATTTTGTATTATTTTTTGCCAAAATAGTGTTGTTTTGGAAAACTATGAGGTAAACATCATCTAATCATAAACTTTCACTATGTATACGACTGCTAGGTGCATTTTGTGCACATTTTTTCACACCTTTTAGTCCATTTTTATGCATTTATTTAGCATAGTTATACTTCATTCTTCTTGCATTTTAGCATATTTATTTTAGTCTCCAGAACAACCTTATTTTCACACTTTCATGTCTTTTTCAGGTAAACCGAAGGTTGGAACACGTTTTGGGATGTGCCAGGAAGCATTGGTGAAGATTTCAGGTTGATCGGACGAAGAACGGAAAAGTTGAAAAAACGAAGTTTGGATTCGGAGTCGGAGGAGTACACAGGTCGTCTTGGATTTGCTCTGCAAAATGGGCACGGGTCGTGTTTGACCATAAAGAAGAGTTTGACCTTGCTGAACACGACCTGTGTAAGTTTAGCCTATTTTGACACGAGCCGTGTTAGCCCACCTGAGCAATATTGAGCATTGTACTTTGGAATTAGAATCGAGGATGGAATGTCATTTTTCACTCAACACGGACCGTGTTGAATTACTCTATTTTGACACAAGGCGTGTTCGGCCCGAACACCAACTTTTGGCAGTTTTTCCTATTTTTCATATCACGGTAATTGGGTCATTTTTAGACAGACACCTCATATTAGAGCACTATTGGTGAGGGGATTTCGAAGGCTTTTGCAAGGATTTGATCATTTATCATTTTGAAATATTATTTCACTTATTTGTAAGTTGTAATTGCGTACTATATCCATCTTTCCAGCTTGTAATTTTGTTCTAGCCATGTGTGGCTAGAACCCTAATTTCTCAAACTTTATGTTTTGATTTCTTGAGTTGTGATTTCAATCATATGACTTGATGTTTGCTTTTAATTTCTATCTAGTGAATTTGATTTTGCTTTAATCAAATGTTTGATTCTAATTGTGATTCTTGGCCATTTTGAATTAGGGTTAGGTCATTCAAGTTATCTATTTTTCAAAATGCGCAATTATTTTGTGAATTAGACTAAGTAACAAGCACTAAACTGATTTCCATTGAATGAATTTAGTGTAAATCTTATGCACACATTCTTACACTCCCGAGCTTGTGAGGAGTATTGGGTGTTGTTGGGAACATTTACATAAAGCTTAATGCAATCTTTTAATCTAATTCTAAGAGTTTTTTTAGATTAGGTTAGTAAGGTTAGGGTTAATCAAAGAGCTTATTTTAGTTAATTAATGTGGTGAATGGGAAGTGTTAGAGCTTGTTAACACTATCAAGTACCAACTTAGATATAATTGAGCAAGTATCTAGTCATCTTTGAATCGCATTGTTAAGTTGTAATACATAAAGTTGGAGTCCTTACAATTTTTGAATTTAATTCACTTATTTAGGAGATTACTTGTTTCTTTAGTTATCTGTTCTAATCATTGTATTCAAAACCCCCCACTTTACTGTTGGTGACCAAAGTACCTTGCACAAAGAGGTATAGACTGATTGTCCCGTGCCTCTGTGGATCGACCCTACTTTCCTTGTACTACCTTTTAGTGCAATACAATTGTGTTCTTTTGGACTATATCGTACCCCTTTATTTGTTGGTTTGACATGCCTAACAACGAATCATAGTGTGACTACCTCTGGAGACCAATATAAATTTGAATCAGACCCCCAAGTCTTCGGCTAACTAAAACTAGAATCCTTAGGGTTAGGCATGCAAATGAGCCAAGCTACTCAGGATCGGCTCGTTGAATTTTTTACTCGAAACCGATTTTGAACAAGCTCGAGCCGAGCTTGAGCTTACTATTAAGCTCGTTCACATAATGTATCTCTTACTACTAAACAAAATCAAATTCCCGGTTTTTTATCACATGGAAGTTCAACATTATTTTAAGCAAATCAATAGCTCATTGACCTACTTGCACCTTACCTAACCACTAAATAGAATACCCATTTTTTGTTATTATCCTCTCTAATAAACTTTTTTTAACACCTAAGTATATCACTTGGTCGTAAAGCAACTTGTTTCTCCTTATTCATCACAAGTTAAGTTTGGGTGTTGAAATTACAAATTAACTCACTTATTATCATACCACCTTGTAACATCCCATATTTTCTCATCGATAATTAGCATAAATTATCGACCATATTTGCAATCATGTCGTGTTTACAGAAACAATGTCCTTAAATATGGAAAATTTTATGACTCCATTGAACATACCACCTAAGGCATCCCTAAGGTTATTAGTCACCTCAAAACTTGGCATTAAAGTTGCAAATTATTGGATTGGGCGCTTTATAAGGCGCCTAAGAGGTCAAGCTACCTAATACATACTCCTACATCTTATTGTAATTTTCCTTTAGTGTGTTCTATCAAAAACACAAGATGGCGTCTTCGACGATGGGGAGTCCGAAGTGGTGCCTGAGGTGGCATCTCTACAACTTCAAGTTGGTTGTTAGTTCGTGTCTTCATAATGTTAGATTTCGATTGAGATTTTTTTTCAGTTTTCTATTTCGACGCCTTACACAACCCCTCCAAAAGCCTCAAGACAACATGTAATATCCCAACTTTTATTTGTCCGTCCGACGAGCCATTTTTGTCACTTTCTTCTATAGCTTATTACTTACACATTTTATTCCTCGTTTCATTAAAACAATATCATTGTTGGGTGTAGAAATGACAAATTAAACTAAATACAACATGTGTTAGTTACATCAAAATGGTCATCTCAGTAACTTATTAGGGTGGAGGAAGTTCATCTCTTCCACCCATATTAACCTACTTGTCTCATCAGTTTTTCCTTTTCCTCTCACTTCCACCCTCCCATAGTACAACACATGGAAACCCAACTTTTTTTTATCCCTCCAAACCATTCTTTAATTTTAAAATAAATACAAACAAATTAAAATCATACAAATTTAATTAACAAAAATATTAAAAACATACAAAACTAATTTACGAACTAATTAAAAACATACAAAACTATTTGGGCATAAGTTTTAATGTATGATTTACAATGATTCTTGTAAAAAATAAAATATTTTTTATGGGATGCTAATAAGGATGAAGATGACAATGTCTTATTTCATTACTTTTTTTTATTGAAATTCAAACATATATATCCCAATAGGCCAACGAGGAGACGGTCCGACAATCATACCAGTTCGGATAACATAGCGTCCACGGAGATGGTGGGTCAGTTGGTAGAAAGGGTTGGGGGCAATGAAGTAGGTGAAGTGGTTGGATTTTGCTTGAAAAAAAAATCTC